ACCCCCCAGGGGGGATGGTCACGCCGCAATCCCTTCTCCTCCATTCTCCTCTCGGGATCTTGGGCACGCATGCACACGCGCCTGGCGTGAGTTTTAAGCCACCAGGTCCAGGACGCGAACCGCGGTCGACTACGTGGGAGTCCAGCGACATAGCCATTACGCTAACTGCTGGTTCCCGTAACACACATTTTCTATGAACTTTCTGAAGCGCGCCCACCGCAGAAGCTAGGCAGAAATCAGTAGGCAGTGAACTAAAACTACACTCCTGATCTCCAGTTATTATTATTTTTTTTTTTGGAGAGGTTTTTGCTATAGGGTGCGTGCGCTCGCCAGACAGACAGACAGAGACAGAGAGACAGAAAGAGAAATCACCTCCCAGGGGGATGGACACACCGCAATCCCTTCTCCTCCATTCTCCTCTTGGAATCTTGGGCATGCACTCACATGTGCCCGGCGTGAGTTTTAAGCCCCCGGGTTCGGGACGCGAACCGCGGTTGACTACATGGGAGTCCAGCGACATAGCCATTACGCTAACTGCTGGTCCCAGATCTCTAGTTATTTTTTAAAAAATTATTTCCTTTATTTTGTTTATCATTATAGTTATTTTCAATTGACCAGAGCAAGACACAGAGAGAGGAAGAGGGAAAGGAGAGGGAGAGAGAGCGAGCCGCCAGGTCCAGGACTTGAGCCATGGTCAGCCATGTGGGAGTCCAGCACCCTAACCACCACACCACCTGCTGGCCCCTGACCTTTAGTTATTAGCAAAAGGCATACTTTTGTTCAGTATGTTTTCATGAGTAGGAAAGCATTCAGCATAGTAGAGAATGATTCCTCTGCTGTCAAAAGTGTCAGTGCTCTTTTTTTTTTTTTTTTTTGGAGAGGTTTTCGCTATAGGGCATGTGCACTTGCCAGACAGACAGAGAGAGACATAGAGACAGAAAGCAAGAAATCACCCCCCAGGGGGGATGGTCATGCAGCAATCCCTTCTCCTCCATTGTCCTCTCAGGATCTTGGGCATGCATGCATGCACACGCGCCCGGCATGAGTTTTAAGCCACCAGGTCCGGGACACGAACTGCAGTTGACTACGTGACTGCTGGTTCCCAAAAGTGTCAGTGTTCTTTTAAAAGGAGGCAAGGATTCATTCACCTGCTTTGCAGGCCAGGCAGGTGTCAGGAAACAGGAATGCAATGATGATTAAATTCACGGAGGCAAGTGACAAAAACAAGCGAAAAGAGCTTAGCAAGCAGGAGGGCAGGAGGTCCTGGGATTTCATTAGTAAACTTGCAAAATGGAGAGAGGAGGGTCAGGGAAGGCTTCCGGGAGGAGGAGGTCCAGTTCTGAAGGGTGAGATGGGATTGGCCAGGTGATGGGAAGGAGGGGAGTCAAAGCTTCTCAAGGCCAAAGTAACCCACAGGGTACAAAAGCTTAGGAGGCCAGAGCGAGCCTGGCTCTAGGGAACTGAAAGTTATTTCTGGGGATGAGAGGGCTGAGAGCAAAGGCTAAGAAGTGAGTAGGCAAAAGCCTGTGTGGGTGCTCTTCTTCCCCCAGAGTGCCAGGTCGGCTGGCAGGCAGGCAGAACCAAAGCCCACCTCCCCACCTGCCTGTCTCTCCAGACGCTGATGGCTGACTTTCACATTGTCTCACAGCCGAGAAGACTCGTGGGACCAGCTGGCATAAGGGTCATGTTGCTGGACTCACACATAGTGGACCATGGTTCAAGTCCTGGACCTGGCGGCTTAAAACTCGGCTGGGCCTGTGTGATTTCTCAGTTGTCTCTGTCTCTTGCCAACACACATGCCCTATAGCAGAAACCTCTCAAAAAAAAAAAAAGAAAGAAGAGAAAAAGAAAGGGCTGTGCTCCTGGGAAAGGCAGGTCAGGGAAGGCTCTCAGCTGAGGGATAGGCCTGGCCCAGGACAGGGACAGCGGCTGGCAGGTGTGTGACATTTATAACATCACAGGTACTAGGTCTCCTGGCTGGGTCCTCCTCATGTCTGGCACCTCCCAAGGGCAGCCCAGGAAGGCACAATAATCCCCCCTTCCCCTAACTCTTTCATGGGAGTTAAAGTTCTGCAGGGCAGGGGGGTCACCCAATCTGGGAAGGAAGAGGGAGAGGGGGCTGGGGAGTGCAAAGTCCTCAGTATTTCCAGACCCAGCTGTATTTAATGTCCCGTGTGCCAGGATGAGGCCGTTAGGCCCCTCCTCGCAGCCCTCAGGGGAAGACATCGCTCTGCTCTTTCCCAGCGCGTGGGCCTCAGCAGACCTGGGGAGGCGGAGGGCATCGCAGTAGATGCATAACCCACATGGCGCCTCGCAGTGCCCCCACCATTCCATGCTTTTCTCCTGTGACCCTGCGGGGCTTCCACGCTAAGCCACCACCGCACTGGGGACGCCTCCTAGAACTCCGGTGGTGTCCCTGGCAGTGCCAATCTCCAGGCCCAGTTCTGCCACCCCCACCCCAAAATTTTCGCATCCCAAGGCTTTTCCATCTCTTCCTTCCGCTTCCCCACGGCTCCTAGGTCTTCGCCTTGCCCAGTCCAAACCTTCTTTCTACTCCCCTCCCACCCCCACTCCCATCCCCTCGGCTGACCTACGCCCCCGCCCGCGTCTTCTGTGACTCCGTTTGTCCCCGGACTCACCGACCCCTGGCCAGGGACCTGCTCTGGGCTAGCTGGGAGACCTAGAGCGAGACCCCTTCCCGCTCTGGACCTCAGTTTAACACGGTGCACGACGTGGCGGGGCCGCCTAAACGGGTCCAGCTTGGGGGCTT